CAGTTAATTTTAAAATAGTTCGATTGTAACAATAAGCAATTAATTGTTTATTCCATTCTTTACATGGTGTGTTCGGTACACCTAAGTGCAATTCATTTAACCAATCATCAACAGATTTAGATGGATTATTCAATTCTAACTGAATAAATTCGTAACTACGTTTGAATAGATAAAAGGGGATATTCTGACGATTCATTATATGTACAATATCATATGGATATATGGGTGAACGATTGTACAAGGAAATATGATCTATATGAAGTTGTAAATAGGGTAGTATCTGATTCTAAATTGACAAGTAGAAAAGAAAACCAAATTATTACTAATGCTGATATTTTCATAACAAAGTAATCAAAACTATTTGAAAAAACCATAGTGAGCTGTCTTCGATGACATTATATTATTATATGGATGACCTTTGAAGTAACATTGTGAAATTTTATCCAGTTAGGGTTAGTAATAAAGACTGATAAAATAATGATTTGTAACCATACGAATTAATGTTTAAGTATATAGTCCTCTGAATTCAAATCTCAGGATCTTTAAGCTACTAACCATCCGAAAACATTATATGGTTACCTATCCTTGTAAAATCTAACCACTTTTTTCATCGTCACCTTAAAAAACTGCTCATGTTTGTTTCCATTCTTTAGTCTCTTCAATATTCATTTATTTAAGCGCCGTAATATTGGTAGGTTACGTAATAAGAAAAACGGAATGTAAAAGTGGGAGTTTCATATGGAAGAGAGACCTGACGGGCAACTGTCCACTTGACGAATATAAAAAAGAGACGGACACATGTCAAATACAACATACAGAATAAGAAAAGAATGTTGGGACCGTGGTAATAAAAAGTATTCAATCGATTGGGAATAAATTAAGAATAGTAAATCGTTTATTAGTAGCCAAAAGGTCAAATGTAAGTTCATAATAAGAGGAATATATATATATAACAGTCCACAAATAGTTCATAGAATTTACCCATAATTTAATATGCTCCGGAAACAACAACTTCAATAAGTCAAGTTCGAATATGAATTATTATTGCAATAATATTACTTTAAGAATTTTTCATTGTATTTGCTGTTTCCTTTAATTTAGTCAACAATCAAAAAGTAATGATAAGGATAGTGAAACTAAAAAATGAAAAAAAGCATACAGACTTACCATTTGAAAGTTATGTGAAGTATGAACGGATATAATTCCATTACTAACATCGAATCGTGTATTACATGTGGATATATGTTTTGAGAAACGTGTAAGCGATAAATTACTTGATAACAATGTAAACATTTCATCTAGTGTTAAGTAATATTAAAGATACAGAAATTATTATTAGAACTTTAATTTATAATTTCATAGGAATTTGAGAAATATATAATCGTATGGAACTACAAGATGAAATAAAACATATTACTACAATCTTAACTCCGCCTGAAGCCCTTCTAGGATTACTGTAGATTTCAATCCCGGATGAAAGAGGAAGATTGAGAGTGGAGTTATCAAACCTACTAAGTAAAAAATTCAGCTACTGAATAGCTGTTACAATCTTATAAATTTGTTGCATAATCTACAACTAACTTCAAAACTGTTTAAGCGATGTTTTTTGAACGTTGGTGTTAAGACGATGATAGTAATAGTGTTTTTTTCTGCTGTTAGCAGCTACTCAATCAAGATCTATAACACAAAATAGAGATCATTGGTTAGGCTGTCCATTTCATGATCAATATTATAAATGATTTCAGGTTAACAAATAATATGATTCTCAAGGGTTATTTAGGTCAAATATTTCTTCAGGAGTAGGATATCTATCTAAAGGATGAGAAAATTCAAATATCAAACCACTTAAAGGACATAACTTATTACATTGATTTCAAATAAATACTAGCGTTATACTGTTCATGCAGATAGTTACTTTGATGGATAGTTTTATTAATAGTAAGTAACTAATGGAGATTTCAAAACACAGATAGAGAATAATCCAGTTACCTTTTTGTGAAATTGAACATGATGGATACGGAATGGAATTTTATAGGCAATTATAAAACCTTCTAAACGATGCATTAAATTAGGAGATACATCGACTGAATATGAACCAATAAGAAAACGATTATGAATAAACATTTGTACTCCATCCACTTGATGAACAGATGAAACTATGAAGAAGAAAGGATGAAAACGAGTTCCTGACAGACAATAATTATTAATGTATACTGCATTTCCAATCAACTACTCACATGCAATAAATAACAAGTTTTTCAATATATGATACACGAGTCTATAGCGTGGAAATTATCTTTACAAATGAAAGAAATTAAATACACAATGTGAGAAATATGGATTAAAAAATCGTAAGAAACGGGTGTTCATTCAAGAAATCCCTAAGAATACAAGTAGACAGAAAGTTTTAAATTAACCATGCGCAAACCGAGTTACCAAAGTTTTTTTAATTGTAGAAGCAACTAAAAAAACGACTAATCGCATTGTGGTTAAATGCCCTATTTCCTTGAGCTAATCTAACTTTGGTAGCCTGTTGTTATTCGGCTACGATAGATGAAAGTTATAAATTGCTAATGAGTGGATGATCTGCCCAGTAAATATGCAACAATCCGTGCGAATATTCAACACCTACTGTCCTGAAGTTTCTAATCTGTAATTCAATTCAAAAGTTAAATCAAATTCCCTACTCATTAATTTTACAGCCCTAGGACTTCTTCCTCAAATGGAAATAATTATTACGCGAAGATGATAAAACGAGAAATTACAACAGAGTGGAAGAAACTGACTTCTCAGGACTTCAACAAATGTTTCGACTTGAAAAAGACCAGACAAGACAGAATCATGGTTATAAATATGCAGTATTTTGAAACAGATATGATTGATGCAACCCTAAATTCGTCAAATTGATTAGTTTATGGGCTCCTGATTGCTTATTTATTGGTTAGACTACGTATAATGCTTATTTTCCCAAAGCGTACCACCTAAATTCAAAAGATTTCAATTAACAACGGTTCTAAAACGAAAAAAAACAATTTAAGATAAATTAGATGAAAATTATCCCATAATATATAATCCTTTGGATAAAAAAGATACTTAGAAGGAAAATACAGTTTTAATAAGCTGTAAATTGTTCGATTTAATTTTATTAAGTACAATCTCAACCAGCAATCATTAGTGGAGATCCAATAAACAATAATTCAAATACTGTAGTTTGGTCAACCGAATAGCATCACTAACCCTAGAGAAATAAATTTAGATTAAGAACTAAATCAAGAACTTGTAATTATTTGAAATGATATATTAACACTTAACATGTGAACCAAAATAGTGAAATCGTATTCAGACTAGTGAAGCTAGTAATTAAAAATACGGAGCAATAGAAACTTTAAAATACTGAAAACATTTATATAATTTACATTAGAAATTGAAAATGCACCAATCGACGTATTCTGATTTGAGTTTAATCAAAGGATAAAATAGTCAAAATTCTATCTACCTAACACACAATATTCATCTATTACAACACACCTATGAAATATTCAACGATGATCATTCAATGAAAGAAGTGGAAATAAAACTTGATGTTTCAGATACTAATATCCCAATATATATTTTTCATGAGAATGGTTTCATCCATTTGTTCACAGAACTTTTGAACTCATTAGTATTTCCCAATATACCACTAATCCTCATCAAATCTGCTTTTAATCTTCGTAATTTTATTACATTTGAAAATCAGTCAGATGATGAATTCATATTTCCTCTTAAGTTTATCGAATTCAACCCTTGTAAGATCTTCACACCGATATATTCTACAAAACGCCATCCTATTTCATTACAAAACCTTCGGAAAAAAAACGGAATGAAAACGACCTAACAGTTTGATTTCCAAACAATTTAAGATTGTTCGACGGATAATCCACTCACTAAATTCCAAGTATGTAATGTTTAAAATTAACCAAATTTATTATATGTATGTTCTTCAGATGACGAAAACGAACTCCAACAAATTAATTGCACGCTATAAGCATTTTTACTTTGTTTAAGTTCGTGAAAGGAACAAACTACATAAAGTCATTCAATGAGTCAATAACGCATTTCTTAATCAAAGTCAAATTATCCCAATCATGAGTAATGATATCTTTTTGACGCTCTTCAGCCCTAGTTTACTAAGATAAAGAATCCGCACAGTTTATTACTGACTAGCTGAAGAACCATTAAAAACTAAGATGTTCAAGATAGTTGTTTCGATCTAGTACAGTACTTCTCAGTATTTTACACGCATAAACTTATCAAGATCCGAACTCGCAGCATTTAGGAGTAGTAGTGAGTGTGCTACACATTCAAGTAAGAATTATGTGACCTACATTTCTTACTTCAGTAAATTCATAGTATAACATGATAGTCATCCTATATCATCGATAAAACCTATCTCCTTCCAAATACGGTTGAACTCACTTACCAGTCTCAACTTCCTACTTATAAAACCTTCGGGAATTTATCTCAGTCATTAATGACCACAAACTCAAGCCTATAACGTGATCTGTACTACAATAAAAAGCTCTATCAGAGATTATGAAAGTGAAACATATTGCCATTCTGCAGTTTGTGATTCGCATTCCCATAAGAATCAGAAGCTGCATATAAACTTTTTATGTTGACGAAACGGTCACGGAAGATCCCGCAGATCTGAAAAGCCTATTAGACAAAGGAGGTAAATGATGGCTACTCAGGAAACAGTATATTTGACTTTAGGTCCCAAATAATTAAAAATCAAAGGGAAAACTACTAGCCAGATGAACAGTTTTTCATGTGATAAAATAACATGCTGATATACAGAACAAGAACACAAAATGAACATGTAAAATATTATAGGCGATTAGAAGGAATTAGTTTCTAGGTCATTCATTCTCCAATCAATTAAAACCTGATTGTTAAACCTAATCTTTGGAAATCGTATCATTATTAAACACAGGAATATTATTTACAAATTAATGATACTGATAAGTTGTTTAAATTAAATAGTGTTTTGATCACTGAACTACCGCTTCATAGCTTTAACACTGAAAAATCATTTCTATAAAAACATAATAACTTACAATCTGAAGCCGTTATATCAGACTCATTTACATGTAAGGAACGAACAGAATCAAACCAAAGAGCTGGATAATTTCCTCGAACATTTTCATCTGTTAAATATTTATTATAATCGCTTAAAGTTAATATTGGAGAACAATTGAGTTTATGAGTTGTTTTAGGATTGATAATAGACTGACTATTGGATTGTAGTAAGACTGCAGAATAAAATATTTCACATGGATGAAAGCCTAATTCATAAGTAGATGATTTAAAATTAGTATGAAATCCAAGTGATATGAAATTTGGTCGAGCCTTATCTAACTACATAAAAAATTAACATGAAGAAATAGATAACTGTACATTGATTATTTACAAACAGTATTAGATAAAAATATATACATTTATAGCCATAAAAGTAAATAACAATTTAACAGATTTGCGCACACTATGCATTAATGAACAAGACTTTGGAAAAAAGATAACTGATAAAGTAAACTGTTAGTGCCAAAATATTTTCATTATCAATAGTAACTGCGACTGACCTCCTGTACAGCTGAGATATTTACAATTGATTGAGTAGTGACCAGTGTTACTTTCTTCTAGACCTTAGTGATGCTGATTGACCTATGGTCTTTCAAATTGTAGTGTAATCATTAGTCTAAGTGACTCGACATCACGTGCATTATAGTTTGATGAGACTTAGGCAGGAAGAAATTTCGAACCTACTTTTTATGCTAGTTAGAACTCAGCTGTAAATACCTCGGTCATACAGGAGGCTAGTCACAGTCTGAATAGCCCCATGGTAGCGTATAAGAATGTGAAGTTGAGTGACGCTGTTTCGACTCTCAGATGGAGTATCAGTTCCTAAGAGATTACAGGCACGCTTTTTTAATGAGCGTTGAATTAAAATGGTAGATGAGTCAAGAGTTTCTTGTCAAATATCTAGCATCACAATATAGTTTAAGAAATTTCGATTGACTTAGACTATTTGCAACACGTGAATTCGATCACTGTTCAATAACTACATGAAAATCCAATCGGACAGTGCTAATTAATGATCAGTCAATTATTATTTTCATCGTTTAACATATTAACATAGGAAATAAAAGAATGTTCAACAAGTGAATTAGAAATACATAATAAGTGTTAAGACGGTGGTGATAATAGAATTAAGCACACAACATTTTAGTTCAATAAAATTGTCAAAAGGATTAGAATGGATGAGATTTCTGTAGATTTTGGCGTAGAAGTTTGGTTAACAATAATTATCATATCCTATATACAAAGCATAAATGTAACACTGATAAATGCCTATCAACGAAATATTTTCCAATTAAACTAAGCATCTGTAGAATTATTCAAACCTTATTTTCCTATTCCCAGAAGAAAAATAACTAAGATATAACACGACGATCTTTGACATTGATCTCTCGTAATATACAAATATATAGGGACTGTAATCTAGATTATGATTTTAGCTAAAATTTGATATGCAAACATTCTTCAGAAAAATGCTTTCACAAAGCAGTAAGTCAAAGGAAAATATGTATATATATCTTCACCCAATTTAAACGTTTAATACTATTTGTCGGGATTACTCTAGAGATTTTATTGAACATATCAACTCAAGTTAATAAAAATGATTCTACATAACTCAGTATATTCAGATCATGTATGTATTAAAAGATGACTGTTACATGACTAAGAAACTAACGGACTGTCAAAGAGGAACATAGAAATGTGAGTCATGTGTGGAGAAATATATCACTTTTTACGGTGTACAAACCGTGTAATCAGATTTGATCTGTACTCATGAGACATACAAATACAGCCCTGAAGATGAATTATTATGAACTGTAATTACACACAGAATACAATCAAATTGTTAGGTTCAACCCATTTCCATCAACATAGTCGATATATACATCTAATAGGTGACAGAGCTTTTACACTGAATATGTGATTAATAATCTTAAATTTATGCAATAGATTAATTTATATGGAAAGAAAAACACTTAATCAATTCAAGAACTTACACAGTCGTGATACACAGAACAAGTATTCCACGATGAAGATTGTAAATTGTCTGTCATACATGAGTTGTTCTTATCTAATGAGGAACTGTAGAAAGAATCAAGTTTTGAATGGGCTGAATACTCCGACTGACCACAGCAGCATATACATCCTATAGGATAACAATTGAATCCACGAATTCCAAGTTGAACAAGACTAAAATAGATATCACGAATCGTAGTCTGAAAAGCAATATCCTAAAAAAGAAAAAATATGAAAAATAGAATTGTTAGGAATAAATCAAGCTTCAACTTAGAGAGAATCATCAGATTTCTCCATTTCAATCGTCACAGACACCAGCCCCCGAATGACCTGGTACAGCCGAGAGTGAGGAGTCAGCTCTCCCTCTCGAAGTGCTCTCACATGGTCACGTGAATACAACCACTGCCAAGGAAGTCCTACTCATTGCCTTCTCGAGGCAAGGCTGTTGTTTACGAAGTTGAGAGGACGAAAAGTGAATATCGGACGCTTTAACCTGGTTGGTGAGTACGGTAGATCCGCCTAGGAGAGTTGGAAAACCCTAATATCAAACCGATTGTGCACATGGGCTCCAGTATCCTGAAGGAACAAAAGGCGTATGAACCCATTGTTGGTCACCGGCTACCATGGGACTGCATCTCCTAACGTTGCTCCACTGCATTGTGGATTAGACCTGTAGTTGAAAGGCTCGGGAGTGTGGCCCTAAGAAAACCACCTGCTTCTGTTTGGGCACCCGAGCAGTATCCCAGCCCTCACACAAATCAAATAATTTATGTGGCGCATATCTATTTGGTGCCTCCTTGTACCAATGTTTGTGTTTAAATAAATAGATAGTGTTGATAGCGAACACATCAATACCTAGGTGGTATAGAGCCACGCGCAGACAAATATCTCTGTATGGCCATTAAGCGTTAGTACAATAAATGCTCAACTAAGTTACCATGAATCTTAAGTTCCCCACTGGTAACTATTTGTGACTCACCAGGCTAATTAATTGTGAGAATAAAAGCCACATTTTAATCGCTTGCACAAACAACTTTCGTAAATAATATGCAATCTGTTGACTATAAGTAATTCTAAACGAAACATGTATACATATTATTATAATAACATGTCTAGTATATCTTTAAACATTTAAAATTCATCATTTGAAAATCAAAACTACTTTACTCATACACAGTAGTGGGTTCAAGCTATGTTTGCAGTTTTTATTAATTAGTATTCCTATGAAGCAACTTGTACAGATCAACAATGTGGAATTCACAGCTATTCATGCTATTATATTGAAAGTATACAAATAGTATTGGAGGAGAAAATAAAAATTATTAAGAGAGACAAATAAAATTAAATAATGGAAGTATTTAGTCTTTCTATTTAGGGAGAATGAGAAATGAGTGCGTTCAGGTCACCACCTAAATTCTTCTAACAATAACTACAGTTACATCGCAGACTGAAAGTTGAGAGCTTGCACGCGTCGTCAATCACAGTAAACAGCCTAAAATGATTAATGGCATGAATTGCTCATCTGTTCCTAACTGTACTGGCATACACTGATTATTGTATGATAGTTAATCAGTTACATTAGTATTGTGTAAGATTGTACGCCCAAAATTAAATACACAGCTACCAAAAATAGTAATAAAATACCAGACCTGGTACAGATTCACCATATTTAGATTCATTTAAATTATAATATTATAAGTGTTGGTTTTAATTTACGGCAGCGAAACATGGCCTTTAAGAGTAGAAGACACTCGTAAGCTATTAGTATTTGACCACAGATGCCTTAGAAATATTGCTGGCGTCTGCTGGGATCACCGGGTAAGTAATAGTGAGGTTAGACCCAGGGTATTAGGGAATGATGGTAAATCAGTTGATGAGGTTATGAATCTTCATCGACTGAGATGGTTGGGCCACGTGTTACGTATGCCTGAACACCGATTACCACGACGTGCAATGCTATCCGGTATTGGAGATGGTTGGAAGAAAGTTAGGGGCGGCCAAACCAAAACGTGGCATCAGTGCTTGAAGTCACTAACTTCTAATCTGATCCATGTTGGTAGATGCAGACTACTTGGTTGGGGTCCGCGTGACTATCGTAACCAATGGTTGGAGACTCTTGGTGACATGGCTCAGAATCGATCACAATGGCGTCGGTGTATACACTCCCTGTCTTCCCTTAAACTAGGAGATTAAAGTCACTTCATATCTTTCCTTCTACGAACCAATCCTTTCTTCTTGTATTATATCTCTATATGCAATCTTTCTCTTATATATTACCACCTTTGACATAACCAGTGCTATGAATCCAGTGTTCATCTTGTTGTGCTGATGGGGTATGGCAACCTGGACCGATGCACATATGTGCCTGGTCCTACGTTGTAGCTGACTGACTGACTGATCATAAGTGTTGAGCACTTTATTCATTATATATCACAACCCCATTCCATTAATAGAACCCAGATATGCATACGAATATTAAATCACATTGAGTATTCTCAGCTAATTAAATCAAATGACTTAATTCTGTTTAAGTTGGTCCGAATGAGCTATATATATAGCATAGTTAGCTAGACCTAGAAAGAAAGATCGAATTCGACTAACAGTTAAGTATAATAAATACTGAATTTTATTATTGTTAGAATAATTTGAACAAATCACAAATTGTGTAGTGAACGATCAAGACACAAATTACTTTATTTTATTCAAACATATAAACATTGGTAAAAGGAGGCACCAAATAGATATGCGCCACATAAATTATTTGATTTGTGTGAGGGCTGGGATACTGCTCGGGTGCCCAAACAGAAGCAGGTGGTTTTCTTAGGGCCACACTCCCGAGCCTTTCAACTACAGGTCTAATCCACAATGCAGTGGAGCAACGTTAGGAGATGCAGTCCCATGGTAGCCGGTGACCAACAATGGGTTCATACGCCTTTTGTTCCTTCAGGATACTGGAGCCCATGTGCACAATCGGTTTGATATTAGGGTTTTCCAACTCTCCTAGGCGGATCTACCGTACTCACCAACCAGGTTAAAGCGTCCGATATTCACTTTTCGTCCTCTCAACTTCGTAAACAACAGCTCTGCCGCGAAAAAGCAGTAAGTAAGACTCCAAATAAGAATTTTCCCATCTGCCACATCAATGCGTGTATACGATATTTATGTTTCAGTGTAATTAGGAAAAAAAATATTTCATAACTTAATTATAATACACATAACATAAAAATATTTGCTAATTAATGAAATAATGTCACTGCTTTTATTAAACGTAGCTTACAGTAAACTCGCACTTTATACCCGGTCCAGAATGTTGAGAGTGAGGTGTGACACAACGTGATCTGACGCTGGAATTTGAAGATGAACAGGCGAATCCTTTGGGACAAGGTAACTAAAGGTTTTAGAAGGAAAACATGTGAAAAATATTTTCGCAAAATTGGTTTACATGAATAAGTAATCGTTTTATCCTTCGTAACAACAACCTTAGCATTACAACATTGTTAATTAGATAACAAAGAAGGTAGCATTTATTAGCATATGAACAATGAGTTACCATCATAAAAAAAAATTTGCAGTTCCGAACTAAAATGTACACTTTGAAATATCACTATGCATAATATATTTGACTTCATTATGATTTGATTAAAAATTTGCTTTTTTCATTCGCTAAATTTTCGTGATGTTCCGTGTGTATATAGAGTGACACTGAGTTCTTGTTTCTCTATGAAGCGAAAAAGCCTATTGCATGTACTTCGTCTATGAGCACTAACAATTAGTTCTTTACGATACACTATTTGTCATGATCAATAGATTCATGCTAAACTTACTTATTGTCGGCCCATCAACCAGAAAAACAACAACGTAAGTCGTATTACTTTAAACTCACTAATTACGTTTTTATATAGTTTAAGATAACAGAACACAATGTACCAGTACTGTAAATCGCCTTACGTGTATAGATAAGACATTTTTGACGTAAAGTTCAGAAGTACATGGATTACTTAATTGAACGAAACTTGACATAAAGTAACAATTAGTGTGTCAAAATATCTTACAACTAGATTAATTATTTGATGAATACAAATAAGAAGCATACTAATGTATGTGCTAAACAGTTTCGCAAGTTTTTTATAAACTTTTTTTCCTTCTTTCGTTTCAACCAAAGACTAACAATGATGAATAGTAACTAAGGGTAAGTTAATTTTCACTTACTGTGTGCTGATTATCAACAATACCTAACTGTCAAAAAATAGAAGTAGGCAGAGTAATTTAAAACCTTGTCATTGGTTGGTTAGGAGCCCAATGACTAAGCTGACTTATGTTACATATGGCCAACCAGGGTTATAACTTAAAGTCACTGCATATACACCATACAACTCCGCCTGTAGCTCTAACAGGGTTACTGCCGGTCCCAAGCCCGGATAAAGGAGGAGGGTTGGGCATGGGGTTAGCGTCCCCATCCCGTAGAAAACTAACTCGCTAAAAAAACGCTTACCAGAAAAAATAATCCAAACCATTTAAACTCTGCCCTGGGAGTTAGAAGGTCTTCAGTTAGAAGAATTATGACGCTTCATGGTGAAAGCCGAGTTCCTTCGGAAGCCACGAGGCCGATGCCCCTTCTAACAACCAGAGCAAAAATTTTTATAGGTACATGGAACGTTCGAACAATGTGGGAAACCGGGAAGACCAGTCAAATAGCAATGGAAATGAGGAGATACAACTTAGCAGTACTGGGAATCAGCGAAACCCACTGGACCCAAGCTGGACAGAAAAGGCTAGCTACGGGAGAGATGCTGCTATACTCCGGTCACGAAGAGGAAAATGCTCCACACACTCAGGGAGTCGCTCTTATGCTGTCCAAAGTAGCACGAAATGCACTTGTAGGATGGGAGTCTCACGGATCCAGAATCATCAAAGCATCATTCAAAACAAAGAAGGAGGGGATCTTAATGAATATTATCCAATGTTATGCACCCACCAATGATAGCAACGACGACATTAAAGATCAGTTCTACGAGCGGCTGCAGTCAATCATTGAGAAATGCCAAGAAAGGACCTAACTATTCTGATGGGAGATCTAAATGCCAAAGTCGGAATAGACAACACTGGATATGAAGATATTATGGGACGACATGGACTGGGAGAAAGAAACGAAAATGGAGAAAGATTTGCAAATTTGTGTGCATTCAACAAATTAGTCATAGGAGGCACAATATTTCCACACAAGCGTATACACAAGGCTACATGGATCTCACCGGACCACACTACAGAGAACCAAATAGATCATATTTGCATCAACAAAAAATTCCGAAGGACAATGGAAGATGTGAGAACCAGGAGAGGTGCTGACGTAGCTTCAGATCACCACCTAGTTGTAGCCAATTTAAAACTGAAGCTGAAAAAGAACTGGACAAGTGGACAAACAGCACTACAAAGGTTCAATACAGCCTTCCTTCGAGATACTGACAAACTCAATGAATTCAAGATAGCTCTCAACAACAGGTTCCAAGCCTTACAAGATCTACTGAATGAAGAAGAAACTACTATGGAGGACAACTGGAAAGGCATCAAGGAAGCATTAACTTCAACGTGTCAAGAGGTTCTGGGCCTAAAGAAACACCATCATAAGGAATGGATCTCTATAGAAACACTGGACAAGATCAAAGAAAGGAAGAACAAGAAGGCAGCAATTAACAACAGCCGAACACGAGCAGAGAAAGTCCAAGCACAAGCTGAATACATAGAAGCAAACAAACAAGTGAAGAGGAGCATTAGAGCCGACAAGAAGAAATACGTGGAAGAACTAGCAACGACGGCAGAAAAAGCTGCTAGAGAAGGAAATATGAAACAGCTTCACGATACAACGAAGAAACTAGCAGGGAAATACAGTAAACCAGAGAGGCCGGTCAAAGACAAAGAAGGCAAGCCAATCACCGAAATTCAACAACAGCGTAACAGATGGGTGGAATACTTCGAGGAACTCCTGAATAGGCCGGCTCCAATGAATCCACCGGACATCGAAGCAGCACACATAGATCTTCCTATAGATGTCAACCCACCAACGACGGAAGAAATTAGAATGGCCGTCAGACAAATCAAGAACGGGAAAGCAGCAGGACCCGACAACATACCAGCTGAAGCACTGAAATCAGACATCGAAGCAACCACAAGCATGCTATACCTTCTATTCAAAAAGATTTGGGAGGAGGAACAAGTGCCAATGGACTGGAAAGAAGGACACCTCGTCAAGATTCCAAAGAAAGGAGATCTGAGCAAATGTGAAAACTACAGAGGCATTACACTACTGTCAATACCAGGGAAAGTCTTCAACAGAGTGTTGCTGAACCGGATGAAGGATGCAGTAGACGCCCAACTTCGAGATCAACAAGCTGGATTCCGTAAGGATCGGTCGTGCACAGACCAAATTGCAACACTACGGATCATCGTCGAACAATCAGTTGAGTGGAACTCATCACTATACATCAACTTCATTGATTATGAAAAGGCATTCGACAGTGTAGATAGGAGGACATTATGGAAACTTCTTCGACACTACGGAGTTCCTGAGAAGATTGTCAACATTATCCGGAACTCATACGACGGACTACAGTGCAAAGTAGTGCATGGAGGACAGCTGACAGATGCATTCCAAGTAAGGACTGGAGTCAGACAAGGCTGTTTACTCTCTCCCTTCCTCTTTCTTCTGGTGGTCGACTGGATTATGAAGACCTCAACATCTGAAGGAAAACACGGAATACAATGGACAGCTCAGAATCAATTAGACGATTTGGACTTCGCAGACGACCTAGCCCTCCTATCACGTACACACGAACAGATGCAGATGAAGACAGCCAGTGTAGCAGCAGTCTCTGCATCAGTAGGCCTCAGCATACACAAAGGGAAAACCAAGGTCCTCAAATTCAAACGGAGAACAGCAATCCAATCACTCTTGATGGCGAAACTCTGGAAGATGTAGAGTCCTTCACATACCTAGGAAGCATCATCGATGAACAAGGAGGTTCAGATGCAGACGTAAAGGCGAGGATCGGCAAAGCAAGGGTCGCATTCCTACAATTGAAGAACATATGGAACTCAAAACAACTTTCAACCAATATCAAAGTGAGAATCTTCAATACGAACGTCAAGGCAGTTCTACTGTATGGAGCTGAAACTTGGAGAACTACAACAACCACAATCAAGAAAGTACAAGTATTTATAAATAGCTGCCTACGCAAGATACTCAACATCCACTGGCCGGATACCATCAGCAATAGCCTTCTGTGGGAGAGAACAAACCAACTTCCAGCTGAAGAAATTAGGAAAAGACGATGGAAATGGATAGGACATACATTACGCAAATCGTCAAACTGCATCACGAGGCAAGCCCTAACTTGGAACCCTGAAGGGAAGCGAAAAAGAGGAAGGCCAAAGAACACATTGCGTCGGATAATAGAAGCAGATATGAAAAGGATGAATTACAACTGGACGGAGCTGGAAAGGATTGCCCAGGACAGGGTTGGATGGAGAATGCTGGTGAGTGGCCTATGCTCCTTCACGAGGAGTAACAGGCGTAAGTAAGTTAGTAATATACACCATACCGTATTTACACGCTACTTAATATATTTATGGGATAGCTTGCTTTGTCAAGGATATACTAAATCAGTCACAGAAGATTTTTTACAAAAAAAACGTCCACTTAGAAATACAATCGATATATGTCTAACTAGTCATGTACTCCTATAATTATTGTAGTAGTATGGCACACAACTGTGACTATTTTAAAGTAATCTATTTTTACCGTCACACTATGTGTACAGAACACGAAAATTCCCAGACTGGTGTATAATTCAATAATTACTCTTCCCTAAAGATAGGAAACCCACAACACTTTGTCACAGCTTCTACCAGCTTTGACAGGATCATGGTTCTGGATTAACTGCTTACGAAACTAGGTACTAAGAAAGGCAGAAAAGTTGTGTTTTATTTAGTCGATTTTCTAAACCCGAAATAATGCCAATTTTGAAGTAACATTGATTCTATGTTTTGATCTAATAGAATGAAACTTATGCATCTTCGTACTTTAAAATTTGCGAAAACCATCTGAAAACCTCCTTATAGGAAAAGACAAAAGAACCAAGTTGGCTTAATCCTGTTCAGATGTTGTTTGAGTGAGTAAATTATTGCTTTTTTCAAGAACACGGTGCTTATTAATCTGCCCTTAATTTCCTTTTAACCTACTCCTACACCAGCCAACATAATATGTTGAAATACGAGGCGATTTGTCAAGTGGAACTGACGACCCAACCATAGTTGATGAAAATGCACAGCCTCACCAACCGATCTGGCATATTTTCCTAGTACCCTATGTCTAACTTCATCAGTTCTTCGCCATAGAGTGAGATTATCAGCGGTTCAGCTAAGTCAGATGGGATTACATTCAGCTCCCTGACTCAACTTCGTATTTCAGTTACCGTGATTGATAAAACTGGACGATAATCCTTGAACATTGGTGTTGAATTGTCAAGATTTTATACCTACCCTCGCTTCAAGTCAGACAGTTATAACAGATGGTTAGTTATCTATTAACTAGGCTGGAATGGAAAAAGACATGCCTAGGTCTTTCTGATTCATATAGCCTAAATAGGTGGATGTTGATATTTCTAATATACCATTAGCCATCCTATCAACTGAAAACAAACAGTAACACTTTGATTAAGCATATTTTAAATACACATAGCTTTGTATATGACAATACAGATCTCTTTAAGGAGAAAACATTTTGGGCAGTACAGTTAACATCTTTACAAGTAACTTCTGCTATGAAATTTTGAACTTATGGCCAAATCATCTATCCTGCTGTGAACGTTTGCACACACACAACATTAACAAAATTTGGTTGTAATATGTATGTAACTTGTACTCAGTAACAGTGATATCTAAGTTTTTAAAGTGAATAGGTAATAGCTCATTTACCAACAACATTAACAATATATTCTTTCCTTTTAAGTATTCCACTCTCAATATTCCATCATCTACCGACCAACGAAATAATTCAGGCATAGTATATTTTAAGAAGTGCAACATAAGAAACACTACCGATCTCAGCCATTATATCTATTAACTTAAATAAATGGGGACATTGATAGCTAATGTTTCATCATAAAGTAACCATCATAAAAATGGCTTGTGTAGCATAACTTTAGACTAATGTGTAGAGCACAGCCTTGGAGATCAAAGAACTTGACTTTTAAAAACTGAACTGAATGGTCAAAGTGAATAAATAAAACCGTATTTGATGACTGAGTTGCGATATAAAATTTATAATTCGAAATGGATTTGAAGACATTAGTAATTTACAAATATTCAACAAATAAGAATTTTAAACAATTCAAGTAACAGACCTGATAAAACGGAAAAAGCTTTTCATAATAATAAAGGATGACTCAATATTTAGTTTATTATTAAATAGACGATGTGAATCGTTATCTTAAAACTTAAACTTACAGAAATATCCAATTCCATTTTGTCGACAAAGATCCCAATCACGAACACAGGCACTAAAGAGATGGACCGCCGGAGACGACGAATTCTCCGACGTCTCAGATGCAAATATTCTTGTTTACTCGCCCCATTATATTCCAGTTGAAAATTACTACTGGTTGTGTTCTCGGATGGATGTGGACCTGATATACAAGAGGCATAATGAGTGTTTAAAACAGGAACTAATGAAGGACTCTCACTAGAATCACGAGTAGTTGGCAAAGGTGAGACAACCTCGTGTTCAGATGCATCTTCTAAGATGCATTGTATTAGTTCTTTTACACAGTCAGTATCCGGATACTGTTCTTTTACGTTACTATCTGCGTGTTCACCATCTGACTCATCCGAATCTTCCGTAACTGGAATAATGCTGGGCACAAATGACCAAACCCAAGAAGCCCAAGACTGTCTCTCTACATCTGTGCTGTTTGATTTGTCCTTCGATTCCCCAGCTTGCACATTAAAACTTTCTCCAACAACTATTTCACTTTGTGTGTCGTTATCTGAACAGTCTACGATAGACCAGTCAAACGTTTCTGTAACAATACACGAAAATACTTCTATAAGACGACATAACAAAGGAATTTGAACCGGACTTATATGTGCAGAAAATGTTTCACAATGTATTTTTAGATTTGTGAGAAGAGTTTGATGAACTGTTGATGAACTGGCATTAGGTGTACAAACTATTTGGATGAAACATGACATGCTAAATCTATAAGCGATTGGATCTTCATAAACTTCCACATAACCATTACGTTCAGCACGATCAAGACATACAGTAAGATCGAAAAATTGAACTAAACGATTTATTACATTAGTAGAACGAGGGTTAATATCAGAGAAGATAGGATTGCCATTGAAATCAGTGACAAAACAATCGGCTTTGTTTAAGCTTAAAGATAATACCAAATCTTCTTCGATAAATTTCAAGTTCAAATTATGCACAACAAAATGAATGTTAGAAAGTAAACGATAGATGTAAACTTCCAAGTACCCAGGTGGAACATTCGTAGGCATAGATTGACTTTTACACGCATACAGATCGAAATCAGTTGGATTTTGCTCATTTCGATTCCCTTTATTGAGATTGGGTTTCTTTAGGCCAAATGTACATTCCACAGTGTTTAAAGTAATAACAATACACTCAGAATTCAATTTAGTCCATGGCACATGAATACGTAACTCATGAACACAACCTGATCGGAAATTCACTGGAAATGGAATAATATCTTCTAAAAAATCCAATCGTAAATCAAGCTGGGTGAGTATAAGATCACCATCCCATATAGACATTGAAAACTGGTCATCATGCAATTTAACATACTTGTTAAGGTAACTCATTAACAATTTCCCTATATATGTTTCTAATCTAAAATATCTTTGCATTTTGAAATTCTTCTTCAGACAGTACACTAATGGGAAATCAGTTAGGAGTTAACATTATTCAATCTACAAAGAAAAACAAATAAGGATTTCAGTATAAAATAAACACAAAGAACGAATTGGAGTAGATACAAAAACGAGTCAATTAAGAATCAAAAAAAATAATAAATTAAATAAACGAAAGTAGATTACTAGTATAGAAAATGGAATTTATTTGCCAAGAAATGGTTTATGTACTCAGTTTCAAGATAATTTTTTATTGTATTGCGGGTCATACTATTCAACTGCTCAAATTAATATGGGTGAAGTGGAGCTCAAGGATGTGAGTTAATAGTTACAAGCCAAACAGTCCTATCATTAGGCTAATTGTAGCTGATCGATGCAACTCAAGAGTACAACAACTGAAATAAAGTCCAATTACACTAGATCTTCCCTTTCATGGATTTTAGTAGTTTTCATAAAAAATTTAAGATACAAATTGAAATGTCTATATAATTATAACTTTCATTATTTAGCTTATATTTTTGTAATATAGCTCTTTTACTACAACATAAACTGATTTTACTTTCCGACCGCCGTAAATAATTAGATCCGTTTTGTGTATTACAATGAGCATGCATTTGTTTTTGTGTACTTTAATATTTTTTTCGTTTGTTATGACTTACCCTTAACCTGTCTAGTTAACCTTTTAATTTTCATCTATAAATTTTCTTAACAAGTATATGTTTGATCGGATTGTTCGAAATGTGTTGCACAAATATATCACATAATTCTGATAAACTTCGTCTTCTGATTGCATTACCGAAACTAACAATAACTCGAACAAGTTCGAACACTACAAAATAAGCGATTGTGCATTAAGAGGAGCAACTATCCCTATAATGTAAAAACTCAGTGATTTTAAGTTCACAGGACGACGCATTATACAGATTAAAATACCATTAGAGGTCCTTTCTGGAATAAAGACATGTCGCTTACTTGTCATTAGATTCACTGTTATATCCTACTCTTCTTACAACGTTGAAATGATTAGTAGAAAAAACGGTTTTACTTCGCTGATATAAGTTAAGAAAACATTTCATCCCTGATTCTACAAGTATCCAGAAGATTTTTATGACCAATCGATTTCATCATCTAACATGGGAATATTTCGGTGTTTAACTGAAATCCCGGAGATCAAATGAGCGCGATTGTCATCAGTCCTGTGGAAATACATATCTATCCTCATTGGTAATTGAGAGTTTATCGTGTCTGCCATTATATATGCTAGAGTTATACCATACCATGTTAAGCATGTATTGAACGATAACAGATTGAAACTTTTTCGAAACACTAAGATATACTACACATGGCTGATTTACAGCATAAAAGGAAACGAAGCCTAGTAACTGGATAAATGATCATGCAGAATTTTAGCATACGTAAAGATGTTCCCCAAAATTAAATGGTGATTGATTATCTGACGAATAAAACGTTCAAGCTACTTGAATAAACCAAACTCCATGAATGTGTAGAGTATAATTGGAGCACTATTTTAAAGAATTCCCATCCGAAACTACCAAGGTTAGGATAAAGTTGAAAATTCTATATGGATACTCATGAAAAGAGAGATGGAACTTTGCCTTCCCCAGACAATTGTATGACTTACTGGATGCAGACAACTTTATTAAATATCAATCTATACGTTCTAACTTCTTCGCACACACTTCAATCCCAATGTTTCAACTTTAAACATACTTTGAAGTTTATTTGCTATCAATCGAAACCCATTTCCTTGAAGTGTTTGTGGCAAAGTGAAAACATGTTAAAACTAAATTATGTGGCAAAAAGCCTAGAGAAATCATGAGCTGAATAAGTGAACAAAGAATTATGACCAGAATACAGCGAAAAGAGATGAAATAGTGAATGCGAGACCGCTCTAAGCCATGTAACCTCGTGGTTTTCGATTTCTATGTTAGTAAAGTATAAGCCTTATCCCGCCTACAATTTACATAATTTTCATTTCCAGTTAGCATGAACAAACCATTAAACTAGCGCTTTTAGTATGAGTCAAATGCTAAAAAGTGTATTTATCCGAAATCATGAGAGATAAATTTACTAATCATTGTGCCAAGTTTCTAAATTATTTAACCTTTTTACATCTTCAATTGCACGAGAATAAATGTCACCTAATTTTCTATAGCACCGCTGGGTTGGTAACTCAATTTAAATAAAGTAATTTATTTTTCTTGTCGTTGTAAAACTAATAATAATAATGACCCTGACAACACCTCTTCGCCACGTAGCGTGGAAAGCGAAATATGCGGCTGATATTTCAAGGCTATTGCAACACATTCTAGGTTTGAAACATTATATCGTGAAACAACAAATTCCTTTGTACTACCAGCTTGAGGTCTATATACGTATTTTCTACATCACGTAGATATTTAATTCGTCATTGATATATTGTGTATTACATTACTATATCAACTGAAGTCGTTAATTTGAAGAAAAATATTATCGTACATTCGCCAAAACAGTCTTGAATTACATAAAATAGCCTTGCGCAACAAGAATTCATAGTTATTACAACGAAGTTACCAGGTAGAGGCATGTGAACGGGGAAAAGACATAATGTCAATGAGCATGAGTAGTATGTGGAGCCATAAAGTTGTTCGTTCATAGTCATTGCAATTCATTTAGCACACTGTCAAATTCAGTAGAGCTTCCGAGACGCCTTTTCAGTGTTATACGTTAGAACGCCCTGCTTACGCCAACTGAGCACTAAAAACAGCACCGAGTGGTTGTAGATCAAAACAAAATTGAAAAAATGTTTATTGATGCATTACTACTACTGTTAAAAGAAGAATAACATTTGATACAGGAAAACAAGTTTACAAGTTGTATATATGTTAAAATAGAACTACAACCACAAAAACGTTATAGTAGATAGTTCCTCTCACATCTCCATACTTTCTCATATTTCGAGCCATGATTTCTGACGTAAAGAATACAACACAAAGATAAGCCTGTGGTGACCTACTTTTATCAAGAGAACACGATTGGCATACTGGAAAAAATTATTAGTATAACCAATTGTACGAGTGCTTGCTTTACTGTACTTGTTTATTTAACTGTACAAAAATACATACATTCTTCCGACCACTGTGACCTTGCACGCTCTCGGCTACGCTCAGTAGTTACACTTGTGTTCTTTGGCACGATCTCGTTATTCTACCGGCACCACGAGACTGCCAACAAATATTTCGTGTTACGACGATCAACTGCCTTCTGGTTTTCGGCCTGAGGAGGGATTTAACACAGTCACTGGTACGTAGTCTCAATAAAGTGATGATCATCGTGAACCGCAACTCAACGCCACGCTACAACTCTACAAGCGTTTGAGGAACTGTGGTCTTACTTCGTCATTGATGATTCTTTAGCGAAAATTGCCGACTTTTCTCCCCACTGGCATCGCAAAGCGCTCACCATATTTCTCGAAAACCTGTTGTTTGTACACTTTTCGGCTTTGTTGAATATGTTTAGTGGTATTGTTCGTGACCACAATCCTCAAAGCTGGACATGAGACAACTTGGAAAATAGACTTTCAACGTGTAACTTTGAAAAAGGTCAATAACGGTGAACGCACGAACATTAATTCAATTCAATTAACCGGATGGCATAGCTCAGCCTTGCAGGCGAGGTCATTCTTGTGTAACATATCCCTTTTATTCACATCAAATATATCGTTCTGTCTCCAGCTTAACTGTGTTCTCCATCATATATTGGTGATGATTATGACAAGACGAGGCAGTGTACACAATGATGTAACTTCCACGTAAGATCTTATAGATTAGGTAGTCACATCATGACAAATCTACAATTTCAGGATTAGATCTATTGTCAGAACAGTACTAATAACGAAGTAGACCACAATTCTGCATATGTACATTCTGTTTGCTTCGCCTGAGGAATGGAATCGTTATTTTATGATAAGTATAGGGGTTGTGGAGATTATTAAGCCTTTTTGATTGAGATCATGAACCGATTGATGTTAGATCACCGTTGGGAATCTGGAAGCGCCGGATGGCCATTTCGTCCTATTGTGGGACCCTTCAGCAGTGTGCACCCACGCTTTCTTTATTTTCTGAGGAATGTCTTCTGGTCCACGGGTCACAAACCATCCATAAGCCACGACAAGGACAATTGAGGAGCATCCTGAACGATCGCACGACAAATTCTTCATCGTCCAAAGTCACATCGAACATTGATTGACAATTAGGAAATCTAGACCTTAAACGCCACACAATACTTAAAGTACTCACGGTTTTCGATACATTTTTAGAACTTGTGGTTTACGTTTACGACCAAATTTGCGCTAAAACACAATAAACACGTATTTAAACGTCACGTCCTTCAGTAATTTACTCTCGACATGAACGTAATGAGTATTCTTTTGAGGAGCAATAAAATTGTTCATTCCTAGTCTTTGCAATTCATTTAACACACTGTCGAATTCAGTCCGGCTTCCGAGACGCCTGTTCAATGTTATACGTTGGAACGCCTCGCTTACGTTGACTGAGATATCTCTTGAAAAAGAGGCATTAAAAACAGTACTGAGTCATGATAAACCAAACCGGTAAGTATTACTAATATTTAGGGTGGAAGCCTAAATCTTACCGGTTATTTGACATTTCGCCTTGAAATCTGCTCAAAATAGATCTAAACCAGGTGTGTGTATCTAAAACTGCTAGGTTATTCTGGACCTTATCAAGTTTTAAAGAAGGGTGGTGAGGTTCAGTAGAGCGAACTGTATCCCAGATGCAGTTACGAAGCAACAGAAAGCTAAATTAATGTATTTCGCGACGTTTTCGTGATTTTCCTTCAGCAAAAGACTACTTAAATATGAGAACACTAAAAATTTATGCAAACCGACGGATACTCGACCAACACACAGCAATTGAAATACGGAATAGGCATCTTGTGGCAGGCTGTCCAAAGTCGTCGGAACGAAATAGCGGGAGATTTTGAGCGGACCTACTTTTCTTACCGTTCCCTTTAAAAGTTTTCAGAGGATCGAATTTTACAG